GCCGACTACCTATCCCCTCGTCGTCGTTGGCTCTAGCCATTTCAGAAAAGGAACATAGTGGAGCGTTCACGTTGGTGACGTATGCGCCGATGGATTTCGCCCAATGCGGAAAGCAGCGAAGGAACAACGGTCCTGCTTTGCCGGTTTTCGAAGTCCCTAAGCTTCTTACTTACGAATGCACCCCCTAAACTCTAACTTCATTCCCAGTGACAATTTATCGTAACATTTATCTTAAAGGCAGAGGAGTAGAAGAACTTTCAAGAGCTAAGTGAACTTGGGACTTTTCAGGACAACTTTCTCAAGATGGAGATCTTCTCCGCTCTCTTTTATGAGCGTCAAGCTCAAGCGGACGAACGAGTATGCCATCTACCAAAAATAAATGCATGTCCGTACACACTTATTAAACAGTCTTGAACGCGCAATCCCGTGAAATCTTCGAACTATAGACAGAAGAAAAAAAACAAAAAATGTCAAAGCATGCAAAAAACTTTGTACCTCCAATTGTGAGTAATCCGGAAGAACCCATCAATTCGTTGTAAAGTGAATTATTCACGTTCTGTACAGCTGGACTGACCTCGTCTCGCATGTCCCCGAATTCCAAATTCATATCTCTACCGACTGAAATAAATACTGAATAAGTAAAACTAGGACTAGTGGCAGCGGGAAATCATACTTTTCCCAATGGGCTATGCATTTCCTTCATCAATCTTTGGTCACCTGGAGGGCACAAAGCTTAAGTTGCACAGTGACTGAACAAATAGATACCGAGGACACTACTTTGGCTCGTAACTCGGCTCCATGGTTCCTCAGGTCACGTTGGCCCAACACGCGCAGGTTCCAAGAGCGCTTCACGACGAACTTCCCTAGCAGGATCGACCCATAAAAGAAATAATCCACAACAAGATTCTGGGCCACAGATTGACTGCGATCTTTCTAGACCGAGCCTGTCGTCCTCCTTTAGACAGAGGGCCCTCTGTCTGAAGGAGGACGACAAGGAAGTCACACGCCTTCAAGGAAAGCATATATCGCATGTGTACCAAACGACGAAAACGCTGCTTCATGCCTTCAAGATGAGGACAATAGATATAGACTTCTTGCACTCTCCGAGGAACATTTTAGAGATAGTCAACGCCAGAGACGCAACAGCCCCCGCATGAGTGAGACATTAGCTTAATCTACACTCGTAATGAGCAGAACGACCTTCTTGCTCCTCTGCCTTACTCATTCAAGTTGTTCCCTACCTTCTGCATTATAATTCATAAGTTTAGCGCTGACTTCAATCAGGTTCATGCCCATAGTGCACTACGGATGCAACCTTTGTTGCTAGACAGGGGATGAAGATGTATCGCCTGAAAATGATCGCCGAGCCGGCTACTAATTTCCTCGACCTAAAAAATGCAAAAGATTGTTCAAAAAACGGGCAAAACTTCAGGCAAGGTGCAAAAATGGTATGAAGCGCTGGCAAAGAATGGGCTCCGACTAGATATGAGAAGACTTAGCTCCTGATCCGACAAAGCATAAGAGGCTTAGCTCATAAGCTCTGAGGAAGACACAAAGTAGATACTGAGAAGTTGACCGTGTGAAAAGCATAAACAATGAGAGATTGAAAGACTTCCGCTGCCTTCGAAGTGTCCTAGCCATTGGAAGTGTAGGCCAGGCAGTCAAGGCACGGATCAACGTGGCATGGAGGAAGTGGAGGGAGTCCACTGGAATCCTCTGCGATCGAAGGATGCTCTAGAACGCTCAAAGGTAAAATGTACCGGATGATCGTAAAGCCAGGAATGCTCACGGTAGGAAAAGCTGGTCCTCAAGAAAAAACATGGAAGGCACTTAGTCCACTGAAGCAAGGGTGTGCGGGTGGACGTGACTGGACTGATCCGAAGCAAGGAAGTCAAATCGGGTATCGCATTGCTCAGTCCAACTGATTGCGCGAGATCAACGTAGTCGATTAGACACATCTTGGAGGCCACAAGAACACGCAAGGTAGCGCCACCTATTCAGGAAACCCCGCCAACGTAGGTAGATCTTTTTATTCGGCCTGGCAACGTAATACACACCTTCAATTATTTTTCACCACGTTTGATTATTGGGAATCTAATTCGAAGTTTTCGTTGTACACGTCGCCCATGTCGGTGCATGCCCCGCAGCGCGATGGAGAAAATTTCTGCTTCGGCGAAGATCCAATGATTCAACCGACCTTTTAGCCCCGCCTGCTTGCACATTGGAGGCGATTACAGTCCCCGTGCGCCTAATTCTGTGGCTTATATCGCCTTAGGGGGGCACTGAAACGAGTGAGCCTATAGAAGTTGGGATTAGTCTCTTGGGAGAAGGAATTCTAGGGAGTATGTGAGCAACCTTTTTCCTCCCTGGCTTTTCTACGCTCTCATGCGTTTAGCCCTACCGCCCAATCTGCGGTTTTGTAACGCCCTGTTTTGAACGTCTTTCCTAAAGAAGCGCTTTTTGTGTTATGCAGTGTACGCCGTATAGGGTTCTGTGTAAGACGAAATCTAGATTTTCTAATGGTTACAAGCTCATTTGTAGGGGACACGATCACAGAGCAATAGCTTTCCCCGGCACTAGAAACCATAATTTTGCAGGAGTGGCGCCGGGGTGGATAAACCAGGTTACTTGTGCAGGTAGGGAAATAGTTTGAAAATAAAATGCGTGTCATAACCCCTACTGCTGGAAGGCTCTGCGCCACGCGGTGGCCTCACCAGGGAGTGGAGCACTGTAGGGCCTGCATTCTTTGCCAAATCGGGATTGAGCAGGCGGCTCATATAAGGAATGGGGGGAAGTTTTTCTTGTGTCAAGCAAACAGGCCGTATGCGCTATTTTATCCTTTGGTGAGTAAGACGTGTTCTTTTCTCTTGAACCATTATCTCAACATCACTGTCTGTTTTCTACGCGTCAATGGCGGTGGGGGCATTGGGATTCTAAACCATGACCGCGATTGGAGACTGCGGGGGGAAAGGAGCTAGGAGAGGGAGAAGCGGCGGATTATGGCAGGCACAGGGAGGTGGGGAGAGCGTGGGGAGGATGGGAGGAGTCCGGGCGTGGGGATGAGGCAGCGTGGGGTTCACGGGGGAAGAATCTGCTTTGCGATGAAGGAGGGAGCAGTATGAGCCTGCAGGTTAAAGTAGGTCTTCCTCAAGGATTCAAGACGTTAGCTGCTGATTACGGGCCAGAGGGCGTTGTCAAACTTGACAAATGTGTGCTGGGGGGTGGACTAGTGATGCGCTAGCGGTGGAAACGAGTCGAATAGTAATAATAAGGTGCACTGTAAGAGCAGCAGAGGTAGATTTCCAGCAATTCCTGGTTCATATTCATTTTTAGGTGCGAAGTGAGAATTGAGAAGGGGGAAGGGACCAGAGTCAACCCGGGGGCGTTGGGCGGAGGTCTCAACGGTCACGTTAGCCGCGAGTTTCGCCGGCCGATTGAAGACGCGTTGCTCTTCGCGCGGGCTCATGTGAAGAGCGTTCGGCAGAGCTCGTGGAGCGGTCATGTGTCGTCCGCACCCAGGTGAGCACGACGTGCGTGGGGGAGGAGTCTCTCAACGCGGCCGCTTGAGAACTCGCGGCACGCGAACGGTTAGGAATCTAATTCGAAGTTTTCGTTGTACACGTCGCCCATGTCGGTGCATGCCCCGCAGCGCGATGGAGAAAATTTCTGCTTCGGCGAAGATCCAATGATTCAACCGGATCGTGTGTAGGCCCAGCGTGCGGTGGGGAGGAGGCGGATTAGCAGTTCCGCCGTGCCGGCCGTAGTCTGGTGTTGTGAATAGCGCCTTGAGAGCGGGCACTGAAACGAGTGAGCCGGATAGAAGGTGAGTTGAGGTTGGGAGAAGAATCTTAGGGAGTGATGGGCGTTGAGAGACGCTTTCCTCTCTGGCTTTTGCGTAGCGGCTGGCATGGCGTTGGTAGCGGGCCTAGCCGCCAGATCTGCCGGGTGGGGGTAAAGGCCGGGTGTTGCACTGTCTTTCCGTGAGAAGAGAGGGCGCGTGTTATTGTGTTATCGCAGTTGTACGCGGTATAGGGGTGTGTGTAAGACGAGAATTCTAGTTTCTAGTGGGGGTTACGAAAGGCTCGGTGTGGTGAGGAGGGGATGAGTATCAGGCAGATGGACCTTTGGCGGGGGGCGGGGCGGGGGGGGGTACTAGGAGAACCATAATGTGGCACGAGTGGCGCGCCGGGTGGATGAAACCAGAGTTACGTTTGCAGTAGGGAAATAGTTTGAAAATTAAATGGACGTGGTCAGTAGGACCCTTACTGTGGAAGGCTCTGCGCCACGCGGTGGCCTCACCAGGGAGTGGAGCACTGTAGGGCCTGCATTCTTTGCCAAATCGGGATTGAGCAGGCGGCTCATATAAGGAATGGGGGGAAGTTTTTCTTGTGTCAAGCAAACAGGCCGTATGCGCTATTTTATCCTTTGGTGAGTAAGACGTGTTCTTTTCTCTTGAACCATTATCTCAACATCACTGTCTGTTTTCTACGCGTCAATGGCGGTGGGGGCATTGGGATTCTAAACCATGACCGCGATTGGAGACTGCGGGGGGAAAGGAGCTAGGAGAGGGAGAAGCGGCGGATTATGGCAGGCACAGGGAGGTGGGGAGAGCGTGGGGAGGATGGGAGGAGTCCGGGCGTGGGGATGAGGCAGCGTGGGGTTCACGGGGGAAGAATCTGCTTTGCGATGAAGGAGGGAGCAGTATGAGCCTGCAGGTTAAAGTAGGTCTTCCTCAAGGATTCAAGACGTTAGCTGCTGATTACGGGCCAGAGGGCGTTGTCAAACTTGACAAATGTGTGCTGGGGGGTGGACTAGTGATGCGCTAGCGGTGGAAACGAGTCGAATAGTAATAATAAGGTGCACTGTAAGAGCAGCAGAGGTAGATTTCCAGCAATTCCTGGTTCATATTCATTTTTAGGTGCGAAGTGAGAATTGAGAAGGGGGAAGGGACCAGAGTCAACCCGGGGGCGTTGGGCGGAGGTCTCAACGGTCACGTTAGCCGCGAGTTTCGCCGGCCGATTGAAGACGCGTTGCTCTTCGCGCGGGCTCATGTGAAGAGCGTTCGGCAGAGCTCGTGGAGCGGTCATGTGTCGTCCGCACCCAGGTGAGCACAACGTGCGTTGAGGATCTCTCAACGCGCCGTTGAGAACTGCGCAACGCACGGTTGACTCTGGGAGGGACGCGGCGGCGCGGCATTCTGCTCGTCTGGCGCTCTCTCGAGCGAGGTAGTGTAAACTCGAACATTCCAGCTTTTCACGCATGTCAAGTGACTGCCCTCACCCCCCACCCCCTAGACTGCCTACACTCCCCCTGGCTCACGGATTTCCTGAAGTACGCAGCAAACAGACGAGCAGAGGGGAAGGGCGAGAGAGCAGCGCCACCGCGTGGTCCCTCTCCCCCTCTCCAACCCACTAAGCACCGTTTTCTAAGTACCGCGTGCAAGTGTTTTTTTTGGCATGAGCCATGGTTACCACTTCCACAAAATTTTCTACTAATCCGAAGTGTTGGACCAGCGTTAGCAGCCATAGTCACAGCCAGTCTCATGATCAATCGCATTTCGTGCAAACACCAACGACGCTGTCGATACTCTGCGGCATGCCTTTTTCACGTTTTCAAAAAGTGCAGCTCCTGGATAAAATGCATGCCCCCTGAGAGAATGGCATGCTCCAATGAGAACATTGTGCGCCGCGGCAATTACTCCTGTTCGGGGTGCTTCTCGCAACAATCTGCTAAGGGGACGCGTCCTTGAAGCTCATAGGGCGTCCCCTTTCCCCCAAAAGCGCTTCGGGGAGGAGTAGAATACCTATGAACGCGTCGATCCACTCGAAGGAATAACATACGGCCCTATGAGCTTATTATTTCCGCGGCTTCGCGCTTCGAAAAGGAAAAATTCGCTTCTTGCCCCAGCGAAGGACATCCTTGTCGCACCACATGCCCCGGTGCGCTACTTGAGCTCCACTCTTTAAGCCGAATCAATTTGATGCTCTCGTATATGCGCTCTCTCGCCTAAACAGCGGCTCATGACTACTGTGATCTCACACATTCAAACTTTGCCACACTTAATTGGCTCACCCACTCCGGAGTCCCTCCTCCCTCCAAGGCTTAGTCCTAGGGCTCTCACCTTCCTCCTTGGGATTTGGAGCCGAGCCAGGCGCTGTTCTCTAATCGTCTGACAATAAGCTCTAGCTATTCACTCAGAAAACATGGAGGCGAATTCAAGCTGTCATGTAACCCGCATGTCCCCGGTCAATGGACTACTTGACTCAGCCCTTTAAACCGCCTCTGCGCTCTCTCGCGGGTCCCTCTCCTCCCCAAGGCTTAATCCTAGGGTGAATGGGACCCCTTACTCCACAACTTTTGTTGATAGGAGGATCGCGAAAAGTTGCACTCATGTTTAATATTTGATAAACCCCACAGACGAAAGGGGTTAAAGAACCGTTGAGGCCACCAAAGGTAGAAGATATTAAACTTATAATCACACGAACTTAAAAGTCACGTAAACAAACAAGGAAGAACTGCTATTATATTAAACATGGGAATTCAAAGCTTAGCTTGCATAACCACTTACTTTCCATGTTTCCATCCGCTAGATTTCAGAAGTGTTCACCCGTGAAGAACCCAGTATAATCTGCAACAAACATGTTTGTAGCAAACACTTCAGAACCTGAACTGAGAAGAACTCGTTATATCTTTCGCGAGGAATGTATGCTTGATCTTGGAGCATTCGAAGGGTTGTCAAGCTGATGTATAACAAGTACCATGAGTTCCGTAGAAATAAATCATATTGGTAGCGGAGATCGGGAAAAAATACGTCCATCGATGTTAACCGCCAAAGTATCGATGCCACGTTCTCATCGATTGATTACGTACGTCCTCCCACAGCAGACTGTGCAAATGCAGCATCGGCACTATGAATTGCAGAATTTTCTAGCCCTAAAGTATAATTTGTCGAAAGAGTGGTCAAGATGAGGGTGGGCCGTTTATGTTTAGCTAGCTCATCAATTACCTTCGTAGAATGCGTTAACCTGAAAAGTTGCGCTTTCGACCTTAGCCCTACTGAGTCAGGGAAATTTTCTTATTCACTGCCTTTGCCAACTTCGTTACGATAACGGAGCAGGGCCTTTTTCCATTACCTCAGCCATAAAATTGGGCAAATGAGCAAAGTAACAGTTGGACATCGTATTCGGTGTTTTTAAAGAATTTTGGGCGGTCATGTCGTTGGGACGGGGTGGAAATAGGGTGTGGTTCACTAGGACAGAAAGCGACTTTTTCGCGTTTCGCAGCGCGAAACATTTTCGCTGCGGGAACCTCAGGTCCACCGCTGATCATCAGTGGACCCGAGGTTCCCGCAGCGAATCATCAGTGGACCCGAGATTCCCGCAACGAACAATGTTTCGCGCTGCGAAACGCGAAAAAGTCGCTTTCTGTCCTAGTGAACCACACCCGTGGTGTAACCTACCATCAACCCTGTTTTGGATCCCCCCGTTCCAGGTTGAATAACGGTCGAGGATCTCCTTCGACCATGGCTCTCTACTGCGCGAGAGTAGTGTCGAGAGTGAATGTACGCGCGGAGAGCAGACAGCTCGCCGGGTCGACGGACTACTTGAACTCAGCCCTTTAAACCGCCTCTGCGCTCTCTCGCGGGTCCCTCTCCTCTCCAAGGCTTAGTCCTAGGGCATTCACCCGTTCTCTAATCGTCTGTGCTCTAGCCATCGCGGCAGGACCATTGAGGAAAAATCAAGTAGTCCGTAAACCGTGAATACCCGCGCGGGAAAGCGTGACTGAACAGGCAGAAATCCTCTACGAGCCCTTGCCGTTTCCTCGACCGATTTTCACACTGCCCCCTTCCCAGGATAAGAGCGCCGAATATTGAGCCAAAATAAAGTAATCAGCGAGTAAGAAAACACCTGATTTTCGTACTACATTGAAAGACACACAGCAATTTATTTATTCTTGCATGGATAGAAAATATGGCACAGACGAAGGACGGTGAACGAGTGATAGGTAGTGATAGTGGCAACAAGTACAGAATACAATTTGTATAAAAATTACACATCAGTGGTTGAAATTGACTAGTAAAGTGTAGATCTTCAAGCCTATAAAACAAAGTCAGTGGAAGATACGCCAGTCAACCTGAGAGGAATCGAATCGAGGGTATACTGAACTGCATTCATTATGGAAGTTAGGTCTTAATGCTCGTGGTTTTCGGTGTACCATTTCCTCAAATCGATAATCTTGTTATACATGAGCCGCATCGTTTCGTCCTGCTCGCGAAGCTCGTCACACTTTGCTGACAATTCCGACTCCAGGCAGCGATTCTCTTCCATCACGTCACACAAATCATGCTTCATTAGAGCAATTCGGTTGTTTTTCTAGAAAAAAATTTCAACGGTTCAAAGAATAAGACTTCATGAAAAGGGGGTAGCATTGAAAGAGTGTGGTTTGCTACAACAGGAAGCGACTTTTCCGCTTTTCGCAGCGTGAAAATTTTTTGCTGTGGGAACCCCAAATCTATCACTGATCAGGAGTGGACCTGAAGTTCTTGCAGCGAAAAAAATTTCGT